AACTGTAGCTTTTTTCCCCAAAAATTTGTCTTCAAAATAAGGGTGCGTCTTATATTCCGAAAAATACGGTATATCATAATAATGTAGACTCCCTTTTTCACTTTCTGAAACTTTGGAACACTAACTGCAAATTCATATTTAAAATTTTCTAATATGTTATATATATGGAAAAAAAAGGCATATAAAAACTATTACTGAAAGTATTTGAACAGCAGACTCAAAACTTGAAAAGCTACTGCTTTTTTCATGAAGAAATTTGTCACCTAAATTTCTTTTATAAAAATTCAGCAAAAGTTAATAAATAGAATGAAAGGGGGCCTGATGATATTACTGACCCCAGGCCTGGACTGGCTCTCAACGCCCCTGTTCTGTGGAGTTACAAATCACATTACACATTTTATGCAGCCAATGAATGACTCTGGGTTTGGCTTCAACTATGCATATAACTGTATTGTCCCAGTAGTAAAAAGTGGTTGTTCTGGGCTGTTTTTCATGACTTTGTCCTTTGGTTGTGGTGAATGAAATGATGAATACTTCATCTTATACTGATATTTTGGAAAATGTTGAACTACCAGCTTGATGCATATTGCATACTATGGTGAGGGTCCATATATCTACCAGCATTACAAAAAGCCTTGCCATACTACTGTGTCTGTTAGGAATTGGCTCAAGGACAACAACACTGAAAATCTGAAATGGCTAGCCCAAAGCCCCAACTTAATCCCTAGTGAACCACTTTGTGACATCTTGGAATGCTGCCTGAGGACAATAGTCAACAGACCACAACCCACCACTGAAATACCACTTTCTTTGAAGGAGTAATGGTGCAATATTATACCTAATATCTACCAAATACTAAGTGTTAGTGGCAGGATCTGAGCTCGATTTCTAGTGAACTAATTAAAATTTAAGCATTTCAAAATACCTCATGTGTTTTACCTCTTCACCTATAAGTGGTTCAGTAGTAACCAACAGTAATATATCAATGATCATAAAATGCAAGCACTATACTGGAGTATCTCTCCTTCAGATGCAGAAGCATCCCAAAGACAATAGTTTCTGATAAAAGAACTACAGAGTGCTCTCCAAACTGGAGACAAAAACATTGTGGGCAGAGTGTACTATGAACAATTATATGTGTGCTAGGTATGGTACACATGCACTTCTTTTAGGGCATATTTTATAGTTTCCAACTGATAGAAATTAGACTAGTATATTTACTGGCTAACAACAAAACACCACTTAGCACAATTTTGAAGAATATCAATTCTCTATTTTGGAAACATATGTCTGAAGTGCAGATACAAACAAATTTCTTTAAGCATGTTAATCTCGTAATGACTTATAAGAAATGAATTATTTAGAACACATTCGACTCACAATTCTCCAGTTCCACTTGGTGCAGTAATTATCATTCTTACATCTAACGGCTTATACACCTCAAAAAGCTTCATAATTTCTTTCTGAATAAAAAATAAACAAAGCTACAATTAAATATTTTTAATCCTTTTTTTCTTAGTGAGAACAAATAGTACAGCTTTTACTATTACATTTTCTTAAACATTGCTTTTACATCAGAATAAATATTTTGGCAATGGAAAAATGCCCAAATAACAGTTGCATGATGTAATTAATATCAAAAATCAAACCATGAGAGAAACAACAAATTGTAAATTCTAAACTTATTGTAAAGATAAAAGATTTTTATTTTCCTTGGTTAAGTGATTTACAAACATAGATTTGTACAACCAATATCTTGGCAAAACCAATATGTTTAAAAAATTATCAATATTTTGGGGCTAAATATATGTACAGATTTTTTTTTATCCAATGCTTATTATTAGCTGTATGTACGTGTATATATATACACTAAGGGTGGTTACAATAACAAACAAGTTTCTACAATTACACTAGGTTTAAAAGGTGGAGGTCTATGTTGCTGGACCAGACCTGTGACCTAACCCAAGACCATGAAAGTCAACATTGAGGAGTTAACTTGTAAATTATTAAGTAGAATGATGTAGCAATGAAACATTCTTGAATTGTTCTAGATGTAACTGTGAATGTGATGGTTTAAGTGTAGTAATTAAGCTAAACCACGAGTCCAGGTTGGATGAGGGAAGAAGTTATTCGAAGATATCCCAACAGATTTGACATACCAGCTGAATCCAAGATTTGTCAATTAATTACTGCACTGACAGTGAAACATAAAACAACAGGCACAATAGTATTGTTATCTTCAAAAGAGGGATTGGAATAATATATAAGAATTCATTAGTTTCAATATTTTGTAAAACTAATGGCACAGTAAAGCTCAAAGATGCAGTATTGAAGTTGAAGCAGGTGCACAATGCATTACAAGATGATGTCCGTTATGATTCTCAAATTAAAAATGCCATTTTGCAATAAAGAGTAAATATAAAAAGGATGGTATAATGCCCAGTATAGTACCACCATAGTATAATCCATATAAATTTCATTAATATTTAATTTATTTTTGTTTTAGAAGTTGTGCCAAGTTGCAATCATCAAGATCTATCAAAATAACCCTAAATCACCGGTTTACAGAATGACTATAATGCAAGTTTAGTTTCTTTAACCAAATTACGAATGGTAAAGTAGTAGGCCTACCTATTTACATGCTGTAAAGTAAATCAATGCCAATCCTCATAAAAGTTTAGGAAATTTTTTTGGAAATCCCTGGGTTCCCCAAGGGGTGGGGGTGAAAATTTTTACCTTTGTTCAAACCTCAGGACCAAAATGATTCATTTGGTACTACTTAGAAGTCAGTGTGACCAGCAGTTTATAAGGAGTTACATGACACACAGGCACTGATTTTCCCTCTTGATATTTTAGTTTTGTTTCTATGTTTTTCATCGCTGTTATGTGGTGCTGAATCTAATGTCCTATACACGTTTGATGTAATTTATAGTATTAACTTGTTTATTATATATATATATATATATATATATA